TCTCCGTTTTGGTGTGGAGTGACTCATGTGAGTGGGGTTATGCAATGGCAAAATCCATCTATTTAACAGTTAGATTGATGTGGGATGGATGGGGAGGGAGTCATCAGATCATTTGATCAATTTCAAAGCCTGTGGTCACCAACTTGCTTCTCAAAGCCAATGTAGCCACTGGGTGGAAGGTGGTTGCACAACCTCCCTGTTAGTAATTTACACGTGAGTAAATCTCATTTACCAAGGCAAAAGGGTAACCTTGATTTCTGTTGTTGTTATTGTTATGTGCCATGGAGCCGACTCATAGCAACCCCTCCTTGGGTTTCCGAGGCTGTATCACTACGGAAGTAGATTGCCCAACCATCCTTCTAAGGAGTGACTGGTGGGTTTGAACCACCAGCCTTCTGGTTAGCAGTCGAATGCCTCAGGCACTACACTACCAGAGCTCCCAACCTTGATTTCTTGTTGTTGTTGTTATGTGCCGTCGAGTCGGCCCCGACTCCTAGCGACCCCTCCTTGGGTTTCTGAGGCACAGGCTGTATCACTACGGAAGTAGGATTGCCAAACCTTCCTTCCGAGGAGTGGCTGATGGGTTTGAACCGCCAGCCTTCTGGTTAGCAGTCAAGTGCTTTAGCCACTATGCTACCAGAGCTCCTACCTTGATTTCTAGAGTGTATTAAATAGACTTTATGCCAGGCACAGTATTTGTCATGTTGTGCCACTTGATCCTTTTAATGCTTAGGAGATACTCCTACCTCTATTTTATAGAAGAGGGCACTAAGTCTAGAGGGGTTAAACTTGCTAAAACTACACATAGTAAGAGGTAGAGCCAGGACTGGAATCAGGGCTATTTCACCTCAGAATACACTTTACTACTTCATGGCTTTCACCCAAAGCACCAGCTACTGACGTTAAGATCAGCCCTAAGTTCTTGAGGCATTGCCCAATAAACGTGTTAGTCACTGACACAAGTAGGAGAACTAGCGTCCCTCTGGTGACTACAATCCTATGTCTGACTGCTTCCCAAATGAATTCTTTTCCCATGCCTCCCTACTCCTTTCTCATTCATAAGCACTCCCTTCCTGAAGCTATTCTGATGACTGCTGTCTTCCTCTCTCCTCAAGTTCCTCTCATGTATTTACTCTTTTCTTTTATTAAGCACCAACCTTAAGTATCTGAGTCAGTGGAAGGGGAGATGTGTGCCTTGTCCGGTTGGAAAACCCACCCTTCCTCTGCCCCACCCTCATTCCCAAAGCCCTTGATCTAAAGTCTACACGCAAGGGCAGCGAGGGAGGGTTGGGTTTTGAAAAAGCATTTTCTGAGGACCTGCCTTTTTCAGTGAAGGAAATAAAAAAAAAGCTCAGGACCGCTAGGCTCAAATGAAGAAAAGTGGCTAGAGAATAAAATCATCTATTGGCTCTGCCGGAAAAAGACCCGGGTGATCTACTTCCATAAAGATTATAGCTAAGAAAATCCTGTGGGAGCAGTTCTAATGGGATTGCTATGAGTAGGAATCAACTCAGTTACAACCAACAGAACAATTTATAGAGTGTATCAGGCACTTGATCTACATCATCAATTCTTAGCCCTGGAAGATAGTGGTTTTAAAACCTGTTTTGTGTCCAGGAAAACAGGCTCTGAGGATATTCTGATTAAAATGTCTGGGCTTTCTCTTACTCAGCCAACCCACATCTGTTGCCGAGAATAGCTAGAGCAAGGCCAGACCACAGTGGGCACACTGCTCATGGAATATTCCCTGTGCCTTGGTTTCGCCATTGTGCTAAAGACTGTTGCTGAGTAAGAGCTAGACCAGCATCATCCCCACCCCTTCTCCCTTAAGAATGGGTTCTTTTGATTCATGATGGTAGTCTGCTACCTTCCTATTTGTTGAGTGATTTCAGCAGAAATGAGGAGTGAGTAGGCTTTGACGTCAGCTTTGGATTTGCTGCGACCCTAATATTACCTGTAGTGACCCAGTCTTGCTCAGAGATTTTGAAAAGCAACCACATTGTTTGGTGTGATACTGAGTGCCTTGCTTAAAACATTCAGTTTCTCACAATTGCTTGTGGCAATATTTCCCACTCATGATGCAATAGGTAGGTGTTCTATCAAAAATAATGATTTAAGGTCAAATAAGTCTTTTGTCATTTTGAAGATGTCACTTTGAAGACTAAGGTGCACCTGACCCAACCCATGGTATTTTTCAGTTGCTTTGTATGCATGCAAAAGCTGGACAGTGACTAAAGAAGACCAAAGAAGAATTGATGCCTTTGAATTATGGTGTTGGCAAAGAATATTGAATATATCATGGACTGTCAGAAGAATGAACAAATCTGTCCTGGAAGAAGTACAGCTAGAATGCTCCATGGAAGGGAAAATGCCTAGACCTCGTCTCACCTACTTTGGTCATGTTATCAGAAGGGACCATTCCCTGGAGAAGGACATCATGCTTGGTAAAGCAGAGGGTCAGTGAAGAAGGGGAGGACCCTCAGCAAGATGGACTGACACAGTGGCTACAACAATGGGCTCAGATACAGCAAGGATTGTGAGGATGTTCCACGCACAACAGGCAGTGTTTTGTTCTGTTGTACATAGGGTTGCTGTGGGTCACTGTTGATTTGACAGCACCTGACAACATAAGCACTATAGATGACTAAAATAAGGATTTAATATAGAGCATTTACCAATCATTTTTTTAACTCAAGACCTTTACTATTGCATGGAGTATAGTTGGGAAACACTGGCCTACTAAATAAAAGCCAAGTTCTTTAGTCATCCAAGGCCCTTCATGTTTTGGCTTCTGACCTATTTCTCATCACCCCCCCCCCCCATACACCTCCTTTTCCAACTATATGGAACTGCTTGTTCTTGGGAACTTTTATTACTAGGCTCTATGTCATGGCTCTCCCTACAATACGTACCCCTCACTACTATCTTCTTAGCTCCCAGCAAACCTTTCAGATTCAAGTTGGGTATCCCTTTTCCTCAGTAACTGACCCTGGCCCCAAATTCTTCCATAAACCCTACAAAACACTATAGTATACTTAGTTGTTTCCATGGATTCCCCAACTGTATGCTTCACGGGCAGGGATTATAACTTGTCATTTTGTACCATTAGTAACTACCAGAGTCCCTGTCATCTTTTTTTTTTTTTTTTTTTCCTGCTTAGTTGCACAGGTTTGGTCTTCTAGATTATAATAATTTTTTCTTTTTTTCAAGGCAGCTGGAAATCTCATTGAATTTACGTATCAACTTTTTATAAATTGAGTGCCCTTATATCTAAAACTTCTAGGTCTGTATTTATTCAAATTGTCCTTTATGTTCCTTATTTCACAAAAGCCCTGTGCAGCTCTCAGTAAATTAATTACTGTTTCTCTGGTCATCTCATTATTATGAGGGTTTTAGTCCTCATTTAGATTTTTAACTAGTTTTATTTGCATCTGAGAAAAATACTGATTTTTGTCACTCAAGTAGCAGCCAAACTCAGTGTAGTCTCTCTTTTTTTAATTTGTTACTCCTACATTTTCCAATAATACATTCTTATAATTTCAGAATGATTATAAAATTTCCTGACTTTTTACAAATCATTTCCTGAGTAGTTGGAGGTGCAGTTCTGTAGGCTGTCGCTGCACAGCCAAGAATAAGTGACTCCACACCTTCTACTCTTCTTATGCCTCAAGTAACCACTTGCTCTTTCTTGACCACCAAAAGGAAGGTGTCTGTTTGTCTCAGGAAGGGTAAAGTCACACTTTTGCCACTGTCCCAGTCTATCTTTAGACCATCAGGCCCCTCCCCTCTGCTCTCTTCCCCTTTCTCCTGGCCTCTTTGAGTTCTTTGATTTGTAGTCGGAAGTTCCCCTTGCCTCTGTTGCCTCTTCCCTCTCCTTCCCCAAGTTCCCACAGGAACCTGGGAAGTAAGTTGTGCCCAGAGGTTAGAAAGGAAACTGCAGCAAGATAACTGCAAGGGGACAATGCCCAGTTGACGTCATTCCAACTTCTTTGCTTCAGCCAGGGGTGTTTGGCTGGTAATTTTTTTTTTTTTTTGGCCTCCCCACTTTTCTTCAGGTTAATCTTCTGCCCCACCCAGTTCAGCATCTGTTGACCTTTTTGGAAAGTTCTCTGGCATTGTCTTGTTGGTTTATGTGCTTCCTTATATTCTTATTCAGAACCTGTACATCTGTAGTGGTGATGTAGAAAGTAGTTATTTGACAGCATTACTTTCCTTTGAAGCAGATGAATCCCTTTCTGAGTATTGTGATAACCACCCTTGACATTTGCGTTAGGTATTTTATTTCCCAGTCAGGTAGTATAGAGGTTGCACATCTGTAATCCACAGGAAACACACACACACACACACACACACACAGCTGGGTTAGGTGAGTTATCATCAATTATAAAAAAAAAAAAAAACCATTGTCCAACCCTGGTTACTGTTTTTGAATTAGAGTTTCCATCAAGAAACTCATATTAAGTGCTTCTTATGTGCCAAGCAGAGCCCCTGGTGGTGCAAAGGGTTGACATACTCAGCTACTAACCAAAAGGCTGGACTTTTGAGTCTACCCAGAGGTATTTGGAAGAAAGGCCTGGACGAGTAGATTGTCATCTACTTCCCTAAAATAGGCCATTGCAAACCTTATGGACCACACTTCTACTCTGACTCACGTGGGGCACCCTGAGTTGAAAACAACTCAGTGGCAACTGTGTTTTCTTTTTTTTTTTTTTCAAGTGTACCAAGCAGAATGCTAAGGCCATTCATACGTATAATCTTGTTTGACCCTCTCTAGGTAGTAAGCTCTATTTTTATTATTTTTTAAGAGAATTAAGGCTCAGAGTTAAATGACTGGTTTGATGTCATGTCCAAGTTAAATGCTCCTTCTATGGCATACCACCAAGGTCCCAGTGGTTGCATTTAGCAGAAATGTAGTATGCATGGACCAGTCCAGTCTGGTGTTCTAATGCAGGTGAACTGGGTGTCACTTAGTGTCTGCTCTTTTTCTCTCCTTTTTGCAGCTGTACCTGCAGGCTCGCTTCACTTGGCGAGGCGCCCGCCTGCTCCGGCCCCTCCTGCAGTTCACGCTGATCATGATGGCCTTCTACACGGGACTGTCACGAGTCTCTGACCACAAGCACCATCCCAGTGATGTCCTCGCAGGATTTGCTCAAGGAGCCCTGGTGGCCTGCTGCATAGTAAGTAGCATGTTTTCTTCAGTATGCAAGCCTAGCCCTAGACTGCTTGCTTGTTAAATGTTTCCAGTTCAATGACCAAAGCCAGAGAGTGCTCAGTCCTGTTCCCTGCATGGCCTCTGAAGAGTTACCCATCCCAGAATCTCTTCAGTAAAATGAGAATAATTCCTGCTTCTTTCCGTACTATGACTTTTAATCAAATATGGCCTGTAAATCCTCTTCTCTATCACCATACATGGTTGTGGACTCATAGATTGTTGGAATTGGAAGGGATCGTAGGTATTGTCCAACTCCCTCATTTTATAGATGAGGAAATGTAGAATGAGCAAGGGGAAGAAACTTGCCCAGGTCACATGGTATGTTAGCAGCCCGGGCCTCCTGACTCATCTGGTGCTCATGTGCTTTGACAGACACTTACTATAGAGTAGAAGTTCTCTGCTTCTTGCAAAATATCTATCTTGCCTTCTGTGATCCTCAGGGTATCTTGATCAGATCCTAAACTTGATGCTGAGCAGCAAAGAGATCCTTGTTACAGGCTCAGGACCTTGCATAGCATGTCACAGGGCTCCCCAGAGACTGGACTGATGTACCTCATCAGTCTGCTCTGATGTACCTCATATGGATGGGCTACCCTTTTCATATACTTTATCCCAGACTCCCCATGAGAGTGAGGTAAAACATTTCACCCCTTTGAGCCTGCATTGCCTTAGTCAGCTCTGCTTTTCCTGCTTTCTGAAACATTTTTAGGAGCTGAACACCTCCTCTGATATTGTCCAGGCCGAGGCCCACTCAGAGGAGCTCTCAGCCCGGCAGGGATCCCAGAAGACAACAATGGCTGGATGTTTAAGCACCACACCTGTCTGTGGTATTGTTGCTAGTATAATTCTTGCTCATTCACTGTAAGAATTATCAACAATAGGGAGCTCTCTCCACCAGCTCCTTGTCCTTGTCTGGATTTCTAAGACTGGCTGCAGTCTTCCTGTAGCAACCTCTCCCCACTTTCCTATTTCAAAGCACCTATCGCTCTCTAATGAGATTGTTTATTGTATCCCTTTCAACTGTAAGCTTCTTGGGAGTAAGAACCTATGTTATTCTCTGTATCTTACCAAGACCTCCCAGGGATCCTAGCTCAGAGTAAGTAAATGCTTACTAATCAAAAACCTGGAATGAATGAGTGACCAAACAATTCTTGAGAATGCTCTAGGGAACATTCTCTTAAAGGAATGGGAATGAATAAGGCAAGGTCCTTGCTCTCAAGTAAATCCCAGTCTAGCTGCTTACACAGACAAGCAAAGCCAGAGCCACACTACGAAGCAGCACATTGGACCAATGTAGTGGCATGCACAGGGTGCTTCAACAGGCAGGCAAGGGCCTGATACACAGTGCCCTGTTGTCAGGAACAGGAAGGAGAAGTTGGGGTGGTCAGAATGGATACCATGAAGAAAGTAGCATCTGAACTGCTTGCCTGAGTATGGGAATCCTAGTGTAAGGGACTGGCTGTTTCGATAATTTTTGTCATTTCTTTCTTTCTTCCTTTTTTTTTTTTTTTTTTTGAAACTCAAGGCCAGAAAAGAGCAAAGTTGGTGGGGGGGCGGGGGGCAAACCATTAATGAGAGCAGCTGTCACTAACCAGTTTGTTCCCAGTGCCTGGCGCTTTAATGCACAGTGACAGCGGGGGATGGGAGTTTGCAATAAAGGGTAACCCTTTGCTGACTGTGCCCTTCTGAGCTTTGCTCTCAGCAGGAGGACAGCCTGCAGAGCCTGCTGTTGTGTTTCCTTTTGGCGCCACTGCCCTAATTGGAATCTCTTGTACCCCTGTTAAAAGATGGGAAGGTGGAATATCCTTCATAGTCTTCATCCTAGAGCTTTGGCCATGTGCAGTTTGACAAAATATCTGAGAGGATGAAGGCTTCATTTCTAAAAGGCTCTGACTTTGATCGTGTTTGGCTCTGGCTGACCATAGCACGAGATAGGAATTTGGTTCTAGCATTTGTAAAACAACTCTTGTCTTTTGGTACTGTTCTAGATACTTTTTTGGTCTCTGTTTAGCCACGTAAAACCACTTTACTACAGCCATTTTACAGATGAAGTAATTGAGGCTCAAAGAGATGACTCAAATCATCGAAGGTCAAAAAGCTAGTAGACAGCTGCTCCCAAGCTTTGCCCTCTGCACTTTTCAAGGAGGAAAGATTACTGAAGCTGAAGGCCAGCCAAAGTCACCCGAGGCATAGCAGCACAGGCAGCTGCTTAGAGTATAATTTAAGGGTGTCACGGAGTCCTTCCCATCCCTTTGGGCTGAGACAGTCATTCCTTTGAGTTTGAATGCCTGTTATACAGTGTGAAGATGGTTCAGAGAGGGTTGATAAATATCTTTCCCTGCTTTTTGCTCATTCAGCTGTGAACATGTGAGGACAGGGACTCTATCTTAGTCATCATTTATCCTCCAGTGTCTAACGCCCAGCCTGGCATACAATAGGAGCTCCCTACTGTAGGACTGGCTTTGACTACCAGTACTGAGCGATTCATGTCATTTAAACCATCTGAGAAGGCCAGGGTGAGGAAATGGCTGGCAGCTGTGGCTGGTCAGTGTAAGAGCCTGGGAGTGAGGATGGCAGTGGATCCTTTCCCATTGCAAGATCCTAGGATTCTGTGGTTCTGTTCTTGTTTGTGAGAAGGACAAATGCAAACCCCAGGACCCCTGGATTGAGCTAGAGTCAGTAGGTCTGTGAAGAGACTTGGGGAACCAAGGGATCATTGTAGGACATTAGGTGCCCAGAGAGAGGGAACTACATGGATGAAGGGCATCTGCCTTACAGATTTTGCAGCTTTATCAGGGATTTTCTTAGAATTATGGAATGCAGCTCTCTGCAGCCCAGGCAAGAGCCTGTGCCTCTGCTCTGTTTGTGCCACGTAGCAGAACTTTCCTCCAAGAATCAGGGTTGCATGCCCCAGTGATTCCCAGGGTAAAAAGCCAAGCTGTCTTCCCACCTGGGAATGTGACTATACTGAATGATTTTGGAAACACAGAAATTTCTCCTGGGGTTAAAAGAACCAGGAAGGAGGCTGTGTAGTATGGTGTATAAAGGCTACTGCACAGGTGCCAAGAAACCTGGAATCCTTTCCCACTCTCTCAGGTAACCTTTAAGCCAAGCTTCTATGGACTCCCCATTAACTCAACAGAGAAATAATTGTTTCTAATATTTACTGAAGTCTCACTGTGTGCCAGCTACAATGTTTGCACTTGAAAATGTCTTCTTGAGTCCCCTGAAAGGCCTCAAATGAAGTTTCCATTATTGCCCTTATTGAAGAGATAAGGAAGCAGAGGTTAAAAAGGGCATGTGAAGAGAAAGGAGAGAAGCCAGTTGACCCCAAGCAGTCCAACACGCAACAAGGACTCCAAGACCAAGCTCCTCCAAGCACCTCATCTCGTGACTCATCTCCATACCACCTCACCTCCAGGCTCACCAGGCTTCTCAGTATTTTCCCAGTACCCTGAGCTCTTACCTCAGAAAGCTGTTCCTCTCCTTGCCTGGTCCATTTAATGGAACACAGTTCCCATGTCATCCCATCTCTGATGAAACCTTCTGGATTAGTACCCTATCCTATGGCTGCTGTAATAAATTATGATAAACTATAGCAACACAGATATATTTTCTCACCATTCTGGAGGTCAGGAGTCCAAAATGCATCCTATCTCAGTGGGCTAACATAAAGGTGCTGGCAGAGTTTTGTTTCTTCTGGAGATTCTAGGGAAGAACTCTTGCCATTTCCAGCTTCAAACGATCGTCTAGGAGGCCCTCGGTGCGAACAGTTAAGCGCTGAACTACTAGCCAAAAGGTTGGCAGTTTGAACCCACCCAGATGTGCCTCAGAAGACAGGCCTGGGGATCTGCTTTTGAAAGGTGATAGCTGTAAAAACCCTATGGAGCAATTCTACTCTGGACACATAGGGTCACCATGAGTTGGAATGACTCTACAGCACCTAATAAGAGACCATCCACACCCCTTGGCTCATGGCCCCTTCCTCCATCTTTAAAGTCAGCAGGATAAACACACTGCCATCGAGTCAGATTTGACTCATAGCAACCCCTCCTTGGGTTTCCAAGGCAATAGATTGCCCAACCTTCCTTCTGAGGAGTGGCTGGTGGGTTTGAACTGCCAGCCTTCTGGTTAGCAGTCAAATGCCTTAGGCACTATGTCACCGGTCTCTTTTTCTGGCTTCTGCTTCCTTCTCACATCTTCTTCTATGACACTGATCTTCCTGCCTCCTGGTTATAAAGACCCTCGTGATTACATTCCACCCCTCTCCATTCCAGTGTAATCCCTCGCCAAGCTCGTGATTCTTAACTTAATGACATCTGCAAAGTCCCTCTTGTTGTGTCCGGGGATTAGAATGTGTACATCTTTGGGGGTTGTTGTTGTTGTTGTTGTTATGTGCTGTCAAGTTGGATCCAACTCCTAGCGACCCCTCCTTGGCAGTATCTCTACCGAAGTAGATTGCCCAGCCTTCCTTCTGAGGAGTGGCTGATGGGTTTGAACCGCCAGCCTTCTGGTTAGCAGTCAAGTGCCTTAGGCACAACGCTACCAGAGCTCCTAGGAGAGCTTTATTCAACCTACCACACCTTCCCAGTCCCTGAAGACAGACTTCTAGCACTTCCATGGCCCTTTGTGCTTTCTTCCCCCCACAGCCTCTGGCCTGTTCCATCATAATTGCCTGCTCATATGTCAGTCTCCCCAACTAAATTCTGGATGGCTTAATAGCATAATCCATGGCTTAACCTTCTGGTTAGTCATTCCCTATGCCTAGTACATCAGCTGACACACAATAGGTACTTGATAAGCATCCCTTAAGTAATGAGTGATGAATTAGCTTGTGACCTTAATCAAGACACTTCCCCTTTGAGCCTAGTTTCCTCATCTGTGACATGATCTTGGAGGCCCTGTAACTCTCTCTCTGACCTTTTCCCACAGAGATTCTGTGGTACAGCTGACTTCACAGTAGCT